CCTAGCTGGTCTGTTCAGGTCTTAACTGCATTTTAGACAGTAGCTTCCCCACCACTCTTGGGGCTCTGAAAGACTCGATGGTCACAAAGCAACTTCTAGAGTTGTTTAGCTGAGGGATCCTATAAACCATGGGCCCTGCTACTGCTCAGTACCTCTGTTCTGTCCCTCTAAATTTGGACTAGTCTGTATGGGGCCAAAGGAGGGGCAGCCTGTGACCTTGGAGACCTCCACATGAGGTCACCTAACCCATTCAGGGATTAAGCCCACATCCCTCAGCCCAGTGCCGCTAACCAGTGGAGCTAACCTGCTCACCCACCTCCTGCTGGGCCCAGCCGTTCTGCCTCTTTTGGGGTTTCAGAACATTGTAGCTTTCATCTCCCCCCTCCGTGGATGGTGGTTTTAGGGTAAGGGCCAACACTTTGAAGCTAGGGTGCTTTCTCCTAAGCCTCATGCCTGTGACACTGGTCATTGATGTCAGGGAGGCAGCTGGGCCTCCCAGAGGCCTGAACAGCGAAGCACATGTTAGTTTTCCCACAGCTGCTGTAACAAATTACCACAAATGTAGTGGCTTGCAACACAAATTTACTATCTCACAGTTCTGGAGATTAGAAACCCAAAATGGGTCTGCAGAACTGCATTCCTTCTGGAAGCTCCTGGGGAGAATCCATTTCCTTGCCTTTTCCAGCTTCTAGAGGCTGCCACATTCCTCGGCTTGTAGTCTTGCACGACTCCAACATCTGCTTCCATAGTCACACCTCTGCTGACACTACATCCTGCTCGCTCTTATGAGGGCCCACCCAGATAACCCACAATAGTCTCCCTATCTCAAGATCCTTAACTTAATCGTAGCTGCAAAGTCCCCTGCACCATGTAAAGTAACATATCACAGGTTCCAGGAACATGGACATGGACATCTCGGGGGACCATTATTCAGCCTACCACTGAGCACAAAGACTAAAAGAGGGCTCCCCTTAATGGCATTTTTCCTGCAATCGGGCCTTTTGTTTTAAGAATATTTAAAATATCGTAACAACAAAGCACTGCTGATTTTTTAAAAATTATAGTATCAATACTCACTGCCAGTTAAACACCTACGAGCTAAATGCCAGAGACAGAAGGAAAGTAGTGTTATCGGCCCCACTTGAGGTCATTTCCCTGAGGACTCCGCTGTGAGCAGCGGGGCTGACTCAAGCCCAAGTCTTTCTGCCTTGCCAGGCACTGATGTTGAAAGAGGTCACATTTCTTCCCTCGGTGACTGTAACGCAGACCCTAGTCTAAGGCTATGTTTGCGTCAGAGACTTCGGAGTCTTAGATTCAGAGGAAGCCAACACCATTCTGCCACCCATGGACGCATCAGAGGGCCTGGCATAGGCCCCACCACCTCAGGAAATCTAATTCCAATCCTGGTAACTCACTCAGCCAAGTGACTGCACTTTTTGGGCACTGACCCCACGTCCAAGGGACAGTTCTGCACTGGTCCAGTGATGGAGGACACAGCACACTGCTGTGATAGGTCTGGTACTCAGAGCAGTCACAAGCGTTTGGCTAAGGGGCTGACGGGCCAAAGAGAGCGAGCAGGGAACTGTTTTCACAGATTGGCCTTCATGAGGCTGTCAACAAAGTCTCTTGAGAGTTAAGGTCAGAGGTAGATAAAAATACAAAAGAAAATGCACAGTCCACACAGACAGAAAGGAGATGCAGTGAATTCATCCTACTGATGCAGCAACAATTAATTGCTGCCTGGGTCAGGGTAGAGAATTTAAAGCAAGCTGGAATAGGTTACTTTAAAAAAAATTGGTCAAGGGTGAAATCCAAAGGAAGCCCAGGGGATGAGCGATGCAGTGAGTTACAAAACAAGTGCCAGATGAAAGGAACAGGCCCAGGGACCCTGGTGCCAGAGCAGAGACAATGTCTATTACAGACAATGCCCACCTGTATGTACCTTGGATGGAACTGCCCTGGAAGTGTGTAGGTACCTCATTTTGTGTCATGGTTTAGAATCGCCAAATGACATATATATATCACAATCCTAAACCTTTGACCCAAAAAACCAGCAACAAGTAGTAAGTGACTTTTAATGTCCTATTTAAAAATAAGTAAACAGATGAAGTAAATCAGATTCTTAATACTAACACTTTAGTGGTATTCTGCAGTTTTGTATGCATCATGACAACCTGTGGATTAAAGCGCTTAAACACATGAGAGAAGCTGACAAATACTCGTCTTGTGGTTTTACTCTGAAATTTTGCAGTTGAAATTACACGTGATTTAATTTTGGAGGTGTAAGGAAATTGTTAGTAGACAGCACTGGACTGCTCAGGGAACTTGATTTACTACATTTATTAAAATTTTCAACTGCTTTGTGCTGAGCAAGACTTTGCTGCTTGGATTTGAATATGCCTGTGTCAGAGGTTTGAATTATTAAAACTTGCAAATATGGTTTAAAATGTTTAAAGGAATTTAATGAAGTTTCCAAAGAGGATTAATTAATTGTTTGGGGGAATTTAATCCGTTAAATGTATAAATGATTAAAGAACAAGCGTGCTTTTATTTTTACAGAAAAAATTACATTATCAATATAATATGTTCTATGATCTTAAAAGCTTCAGAACCTAGATTTTTAATTTTTTAACCATTTAACAGATTGAAAATTAATTTATGGAATAACATGGTGGACATGTTTGTGTTCAAATGACCTACACATTTTTTAAAAAGTGAGCACTGAAAAGGGTGCTGATTGATCCTCTCTCTGGAAATGGGGGCATTAAAGTGCCTGCACCCTGGATTTAGAAACCCTCTCCTAAACTCCTATACCCCTTTGCCCTTGGTTAGACTTGCATGTAAATAGCTAAAACGAGTGTGTCAGACTCTCTCAAGAGACTTCAACCTTCTAGCGACCAGGTTCGGGCCTTGTAACATGGTTTTCCCCACAGTGACTCAGCCACAGTAGACCCACAATGAGCATTTACTGAACTTCTTGCCAGTCAGTGGCAAAAGCCATAGGAATGTTTCCCAAAGCAAATGCCAACATCTCTGTCCATATCCTTCCTCCCCAGCAGCCCTCCTGCCTGGTCCCTCTTTCCTAGGGCTATAGGTGTTCCAGAAACTCACTGAACTAATCCCTAAACATGAGGGTCTCACACCAAAGACAGTCATCTCTGGTCCCAGTCCAGTAAGTTATGATTTAGTATTAGTCCCATTCATTGAGGGAACATCATTTTGAAGATTCTATTTTTAAGACATCTCTCAACCAAATGAGTCCCTTGAAACTTAAGACTGATCACAGCTAACATTTATACATATTAATGTTCTATGAGCTCCATATTATAGCATTAATTTTACAATAGCACTACTATCCCTACTTGATAGATAAGGGAACTGTAGTGCACAGTTCACCCATTTTAGAAAGGACAGTCATGGATTTGAACGCTTGTCAGTCTGACCCCACAGACTCAACTCCCTGTAACCCCTACACCACACTGTTTTAACTCTAAACACAGCCATAACTTGAACATTTCAGTTGCTAAATTACATTTCTGCAGGCCACTGTGCTGTTCATGATAGTCCTCACGACTGCATTTTCAGTAAAAGGTAGTCTCAGGGAGAACAGGTAAGGAGAAAAAAATGGGAGAAACTACATCAGTACACAGAAATCCCTTGGGGATAGTGTTAAAATGCCGATTCTGACTCACTATTCTGGGGTGGGGCCTGAGATTCCGCATTTCCAACAAGGTCCCAGGTGATGCTGGACAGCTGCTATCTGTAGGACATTTTGAATAGCAAGGGATAGGATGACTCTTGCTGAGACAACTCAAGCTGCTCCCTGCATCAAAAATAAAGGAGTGGGCGGGAGAGAGGGGTAGAATACAAATGCCACAGAGCTGTCTGATGCTGAGAACAAAAGAAGGTGGTTCATACACTCATGACCTTATTTTCAACTCACAGGAGAGACGAGTAAGGAAATCACCTTTTCCTTTTCAAAATAAGGAAGCTGAAGCATAAGAAGACTAAATACACCAGTATCAAAAACCTCTTAGGTTAGATTCCCCACACCTCCTTGACCCCACACTTTCAGAAACTGCAGGCCAGGAGCAAGCCAAGAGCTCTCGTGGGAGCATTGTTGTTTTAGTATGGTTTGAGCCAAGCAGTATCAAAGTTGTCCATGCTCTCCAAGTTTGTCCTATTTTTTTTTATAGGCAATATTAAAATCTTTTTAAAAACTGCACGTTGATAAAGAAGCTAGTCACACCTCTGAGGGGACTTAAAAATGAAAAACCACATAAATTTTCTTCCTTAAAAAACAGCCATTTCAAAAGATTTTCTTTAATATCATAAAATATTTTCATGGACAAGTGAGCTAGCAAACACACATGCACCAATGTGCCTTTTGACAATACCCCCTACCCCCACTCCCACACCAGGGTGGACATGAGATTGGAGAAATGAATACAGCAGATGGAACAGATAGAAGGAAAAAAAAAATCAATAAAAAGGATGGCATATAACTTTGTGCTTGGTTATTTCCCTACGTCACAACAAAACAAAACATGTTGGTGCAAATAGTTAATTTTTCCTCTTTTCCATTTAAGTCTGGTGGAGAAAAAAATACTTTTTCTATAATAAAATATGTAGTTTTTTGGTTTTTTACTTTTTTAACGTAACTTTTTTTTTTTCTTTTTTGCAGAAAATAACTTTGTAAACTGTCACTTTGCGGGAAGGGCGACTCGATGCCACGTGGACTCCAGCTCGCCTGGTGAGAGGCTGAGCTGAAACCAACCCCGGGCGGGAGACGGGACGGCGCAGGCGCAGGGCGGGGCGCGCACGGCGTACAGGGGGGGGGGGGGGGG